ATATAGATATATGTTAGTGTATAGCATATTAGTGTGTATAGCATCTTAGAAAGAACAGATATATTTATATTAAAATATTTGTTGCATTCTTAAGTGCAAAGCAGCTTTTATTCTCTTGATAATTATTGATTATATCCCGACATTTCTATAAAAAATTCACTTTATTTCGACAGATCCTAATTTGCTGTTACTGTATCAAGTGGCCTTGCCATTTTTTTTTAATTTTATTTTGATTATTTTTAAATTGACCAATAATAATTACACATATTTGTGGGGTACATGGTGAAGTTTTGATACATGTAATGTATAGTGAATAGATCAGGGTAGTTAGTATATCCATTATCTCCAACATGTATCATTTATTTATGTTAGTAAAATTCAATACCCTCCTTCCAGCTATTTGAAACTAGATAATACATTATTGTTAACTATAGTCATCCTACGGTGCCATAGAACACTAGAACTTATTCCTCCTATCTAGCTGTAATTTTATTACTGGAAAGGGGTCCCAATCCAGACCCCAAGAGACGACTCTTAGACCTCATGCAAGAAAAAATTCAGGACAAGTCCATAAAGTGCAAGCATGTTTATTAAGAAGGTAAAGGAATAAAAGAACGGCTATTCCATAGGCAGAGCAGTGGCATGGTCTGCTTAACTAAGTATACTTATATCTTGATTATATGCTAAACAAGGGGTGGATTATTCGTGCCTTTTCTGGGGAAAGGGTAGGAATTTCCCAGAACTGAGGGTTCCTTCCCTCTTTAGACTATATAGGGTAACTTCTAGACATTACCATGGCATTTTTAAACTGTCTTGGTGCTGGTGGGAGTGTCTTTTAGCATGCAAATGTATTATAACTAGTGTATAATGAGCAGTAAGGACTATCAGAGGCCACTTTCATTGCTCTCTTGGTTTTGGCCAGGTTCTTTACTGCATCATGTTTTATCAGAAGGGTCTTTGTGACCTATATCTTGTGCCAACCTCCTATCTCATCCTGTGACTAAGAATGCCTAACCTCCTGGGAATGCAGCGCAGTAGGTCTTAGCCTCATTTTACCCAACCCCTATTCAAGATGGAGTTGCTCTGCTTCAAATGCCTCTATTTTGTATCCTTTAACAAATCTTTCCCTATCCCTCCTTCCTCCCCACCTTTCCCAGCCTCTAGTATCCTCTGTTCTACTAGGTAATGTTTTTATTTTATTTTATTTTATTTATTTATTTATTTATTTATTT